TGCGTCCCATTCACGGCAACCTTTAGCAAAACCGGGAAGAAGCAGAGTCCCTTAATGCTGTGACGTCCTACCACAATGACAAGAGACCAGCTGTGATGAATCATAGCCGGTTTTTTTTTTCAACGCATGATCGATGTTGCTTTGTGCTTGGCCGGAATACGTCAACGCCGAGTTCAGGCAGGCATGGTTCACGCGGCACAGCCCACCTACAATTCTGACTTCGTGGCGTCTCCGTCTGGTGTGTCTTTCTTTCGTTCCTGCAGGTTCCGGCGAGCCCTCTCAACCAACATGCGATCCCTGTCTTGCACGATCTGTTCGGTTCGTGCATAGAACGTCTTGAACTCCTCCAGAACTAGCACGTAGTCACTGTTGACATCTGCCGCCTTGAATGCTTTTTTGAACTCCTTCCGCACGTCTTTCGGCAGCTTTTTGAAGCCTTCACTGTCACGAACTTCATGCCAATGTATGGTTCCGTCTCCGCTTAAGTCCATGTTGTCCAAAAGGGCCGCCACATTCAACTGCCCCAGTGCTACGCAGCACAGCAAGACTAACCCACTGAGGGTGCATGCCGCTTTTGGCATGAGCTTCGGCCAGGGCGGGAAACGAATCCAGCGGGCTTAGCTCCAGTAGCTCTGACCCGCTAAACAGCGCGGCACCGGGATCATGGCAATATGAGTTCAAACTGAACAGCTTGGCCGTTTGAGTTTTTGTGGGAGCCCTTATCGTGCACTGTGTTACCCGGCTTCCACCAACTATCTAGCTGCACCGGGACTGGCTTTTGAGGACTCTGGTAGCACTCTGCGCATGCTTTGCAGGGGTCAGGGTGGCATGCACCTGCGGTACTTGAGCATTAAATCTTGCAGCTCCTGTAGCTGAAATTGCTCGCCATGTTGTCAGTCTCAGGGAGTGTGCTGAGCTCCTCGCGGGGAGTCCACCTTCGGCACAACACCCGTGGGATCGATGCCAGTAAAGCGAGGTTGTAGCCGCCGATGTGGAATATGCCAATTGTGCAAGAAAGCCTGGGATGTATACCTCGTAATTGATGCGGCAAATCCTCTCTCCCTCTGTAAGCTAAAGTAAAACAACCGACAATGTATTGATTCAGGCTTCCCCGTGAGTGCAGCTTCCGGAAAAACGATGATCTTCGCACCGCCTTCCTCAAGTCACGAGTTCACGACGAGCATGGACAGGTGTGGCAAGCATGCTTATCCCCTCTCTCGCTGTTTTTCTCTACGTGCTTGCGTGCGAGGGGTACGGGGGCTGCACGCAGCCCCCGCCCAAAGCCTACTCCGTGGCTCGCAACGGTCAGTCTTCTCGGGTGGTTCGGGGATCCCCCCTCTTTGCTCGGCGTGGGTGTCACCGTTCCCCCATGTGTAACCATGTAGCCATGACTCACGCCTCTCCCTCTTCCACTCGATTGTTCTGAGATACCGCAAGGTGTACAACACAGTGGTTTCGCATAGGCACATTCCACGCTGAGGTGCAGCAGCTTTACGCGCCAGTCTCTCCATCTTCTCGGCGTTGTCCTTTGCAAGGAGAACTAGGGAGAGAGGGTTCGTCGAAGCATGAACTGCTTGCCACTGGACGGTGCTGCATCTGGCAATGTGCTCTAACCACCTCCACAGCCGAAGCGGAGCCCATCCGACTGGAGCATTGTATAGCCTTGTTTGGACAAGAAGTCTGGAAACGCTGTGCTGCCTGTTCTTCCTCTGAAGCGGCAGGCAGGAAACCAGCAGCACCAGCTTTACCATAATCACGGCTGTTCTTGTTTGCTGAGTCTTTGGGGCATATTTCCAGAGTTCTTCGACCCTTGACCCGTAGGGCCCCAGCAGCCACCCGCACGCGCGGTGGCTGCGGCACCGTGCGGATACCTGTCCAAGGCTGCGTGCTAGCACCGCTCTTGGATTACACCAGCGGCCATGTTCCAATAGATAGAACTGCTTTTCTTCACACCTGCCTGCAAGCCGTTGACATCCCCACCAGCATTGCAGGCAAGGGCTCCACGAGTCCATGAAAGTCTAAGACCGAGGCCTCTCCTTCAAGGCATGCGACCTATCTGAGACTGCATCTCTTCACAAGGCACCGTCTTTGGAGTGCTTGTGTGTGTGGGTGCTTGGGTGCTGTCGGCCAATAGATGAAATTCAACAGCTTTGACATGCAGCTTCGCGCTTGAAGCATCATGAAGATCCAAAGCTGCCCACTTCAACACCACGAAGATCCAAAATGTGGCAAGGCTTCGCTCGTGCGGTCGTCTTGTCCTTGAAAGCTGAGGGCGAGGCACCAGCAGCCTCCTCCACCACATCTTCCTGGACATACATGTTTCCTTCTGTCACCTTGCAGGCTAATGCACACCAAGCTTACCTACCGGCCTCGGTTTCCAGAAGTAGCCGGTAAATCGACGAGACCTAAGCCGCATGACACGATACAGCTGTGATCGGCTGTTCAAATTTTTGTCTGCCCGTCAAGCTTGAGCTGGGCATGGCAGCAGCCTGAGCTATCGACCACGGCGAAGACACACTCCTTGCTTGGCGAGACTGTCACGACGCTGTTTTAACATTGAGGGTTGCAGGAACAACTTGTGAGCATTAATTATCGCATGCCAGCTTGGACATCTTGCAAACCCTTGACACAATAATCGCTTCCCCTGAGCACTAAACCCCCCCCCCCCCCTAATATAAAACTGCTGGCCCCCAGAAATCCCCCAGAAATTCGCGGTTTCGGGCCCACAACTGAATGTTAATTAAAAACATTAAAGGGGCCTAGGGATTGTATTAGTTTTTAATAGAGCCAAGACTACAGTAGTTCTAGACCAACGGCCCAGAGCTTAAGATTTAAGGCTTTAGGGCTTAACGCTTAGGGCTTAAGGCTTTGGGGCTTAGGTGTTTGGGGCTTAAGGCTCTATAAGGTTTAAGGTTTAGGGTTCAAGGCTTTAGAGCTTAGGGGCTAAGGGCTTAAGGTTTAGGGCTTCAGGGTTGGCTTAGACTGTTTGGTTTCGGGCTCAAAGCTTTTTTTGCTTAGGGTTTAAGGCTTACGGCTGTAATTAAAGCTCTTAAGGGCTCAGGGCTACAGTCTGACTAATTACAGCAATCCCAGTCACACTCGGATGCGCCGAAACCCCCCCTGATACAAAAACTAAACCCCCGGATTTGAGTTTTTATATTGGGGGGGTTTAATAGGGGGACGGGATTATTCACCGCAGGCGCACGCATTGCGCAAGGCCACGGAATGGTCGTGTGAGCGGCATTCTAGGCCTGTTGAGCACAGGTGGTGTTTGACCAGCTCCATCAGACTTGCTTACGTTTTGCAAGGCTCGATTGCTTCAACGACCGCACAAACAAATGTCATCCTTTGAAGCTGTGGCGACACTGAAGTCATTTGTCGTTCAGTACAATACAGTACGGCTGTGAAGAAGTGCGTGCACACGTTGTTCCATTCCGTGCGGCGGGGACGAGCTGGATACACATGCACACCTTTTAATGCAATACGGTTGGGATGAACTATTTGCAGGTGTCGTTCAGGCCCAGGTCGTTCTGCGTGGTGGGTGCAGCTGTGACGTATGCTCACACGTGTCGTTGCTTGATCGAATACTGCGATGCGCGCTCTTCAGTTTTCTTGATGCCGGTCTTCGGGCACCGACCCTCTATCTTCGGCACTGGCCAAAACCTGATAGGAAACGCTGCAGTGTGCATGTGCCGTCCACCGGATTTAAGCGTGGTAACTGGCAACAAGCGACGCCTGACAGTGACAGGGTGCAGTGACAACAGTTTCTTGACCACGCACGGCCCCATTTCAAACGCAATCAAACGGGGTCTCTGCCACTGGCAACGCGGATCTAGGCCCTAGGCCATTCCTTGACCTGTGTGCAGCCTGAGTCCAAGCCAGCCACAGCAAGCCATTGCGAAGCATTTCGACTCACACACTCGCAAAAACAGGCACGGCTTCACGACGTTCGCATGTAGAGGCTGTGCTTGTTCACGCGCGTAGCAAAATGGTGCAAGCTGTTCCGTCGCCAAGGCTGTGGTCTGCTTCCCCACTTTGACGGCCGAAAGGCCTGTCAAAGAAAAGAAGCATGCACACCACCTGAAAAAGAAATCTGCAGGACGGTCAGCGTTGCTTTCTCTGCCCTTAAATCGTGCAGGAAGTCAACCGTTCGCTGCTCGCAGAAAGAACCGGTCTTTTGTTTTGTTTGCAGATGACGCCGGTACCGAAATCCGCATTTCCCAGCATCAGGCCCTTCTCATGCATCTGAGGCTCCACCACAAGCGACACCAAGAACGCGGGCTGAATAGAAGGAGGCTCCGTCTCATTCATCAAGAGTAGAAGCTTGACCTGCATCCAGGAATCCTCGTCGACTACAAGATGCCTCGCCTCTGGACATATCCATCTGAAGCTACCTCTACCTGAATATGAACATAACTAGGTACACACACGCATATCTACATAGTACAATTATATGCATATATATATATATATACATACATACAGAAGAGGAGCCTGTGGGGGGCCTGCGTCTTTGCAACCACTATGCTCAGTGGTTTTGTATGTTTCGAGTGGTTGTGTGTGTGTGGCTCCATACATACATATATCCATTTATATATGTATATAAGTATATATATATATATATGTGTGTGTGTGTGTGTCTGTGTTTGCATGTGTATATATATATATACATACGTATGTATATATATGTATGTATATATATATATATACACATGCATGCCCATAATGGGCTGCCCATATGCCTTCATGCTTGCCGCTGCGTGCGCGTAGTCTTGTGAGTGTTTCTGTGGGCCTTCCCTGAAGCAGCTCGGGCCACTACGCGAGGTGTCGCACGCGCAGCTGATCCTGCCGAGCCTCGGGTAGCACTAGGCAGTCGCTCAGCGCTGCTCAATTCGTTGAAATTGATCGAATCCTCTGCACAACTTCCTGTCCAATGCGGCGCATCTTCTAGTGGCCAGCTCTCTGAGAGGGAGGCCATCAGAGCTGCCTGGAACGCTGTTTCGTGAGGCTCCCGCAAGCATCAAGGCACGAATTTAATCGGCACTCTCGGCTCGACAAGGTGCACAGGAAAGTGGAAGACTGCTGCTCGCTACGACCGTGCTGGTTCAATCGTCTCTGAGCTCAGGACGATCCAAAAGGTTGGCCTGCAGCTGACAGTAGGAGCAGTGTCCAACAACACCTCGTCCTGTACACTCGAAACCCTGAGGACGTTCGGCAACCCATGTCACAGCTTGCGAGAGCAGATTGCAAACAGAAACTGCGGACAGAACGTTCTGGAGGCTTCCCCGGCCCTCGTGACCTGGATTCATGCCGGCGGAAGATAAAGGGCCATGCAACGGTTGCAGCTCGCGCTCTGTCCCATGCCACGTCTTGCCTGCATTGCGTAGAACTGGAGGAGCCGTTGACGAAGCCCCGGCCTCGCTAAAGCGCTCCGTTCCACTTCAGTCGGTAACCCGCGACTGCCACTTCCATAGTGAACCACAAGATGGTGATGGCGATGAAAGATGATGATGCTAATAAATGAATGAAGCAATGTCCAACTTACAATAGTTTGCGGCGGGGACTACAACACTGTTTTCTGACAACTGTAAAGCTAAAACCTCGGTTTCCTAAACTGTTCGGAATGTAAAGTAACACGGCGGGCTGTGCACCAGCACCGTCCGCACCCTGGTAGTACTCCCGAGTAAGTAAGAACACCAGAACTCTCCCACACGCATTCTTACTCGGAGCTCGGCACTCAATGTCAGACAACTCTAACGGATAGCAGTGCATCCCCTTTGGCTTCACTTCGCTGCTCCATCCCAGGTTCCACAAAACTGGCAGGAGCTGAACAGTTTCTGAACGGCAAACCCGTGATCTCTTTGGAGCAATGCCAGATTGAACCAGCGAAAACCTCAACCTCGGAAAGACATACTTTGCAACTGTACCAGTGTCTTCCATTGCCGGAAAAACGATCTAGCCTTAGCGGAGACACAAACTGTACGAGAAATGCCCGGACAACCGAGCGACAAGATGCAGCAAGTAGAAAACGGGAGTTCTAAGCGAGCGCACATACAGACAGACACACTCCAAGCAGAGAGGAAAAGGACAACAGGAACAACAACAACGACGACAACAACAACAACCAACAACAACAACAACAACAAAACAAATACACACAGCAGCAAACACCAGCAAATAACAGCAAAAAACAGCAAACAACAACAAACATACAGCAATAGCAACAAACAATCAGCAACAGCCACAGCCACAGCCGCAGCAACAGCAACAGCAACAGCAACAGCAACAGCAACGACAGCAACGACAGCAACAACGGCAACAGCAACAGCAGCAACAGCCACAACAACCACAACCACAGCAAACACGGCAGCCACAACAACCACAACAACAACAGAGACAACCACAACCACAACCACAACCAAGCCCAACCCCAACCCCAACCCAAGCAAGCAACAAAAACAACACGAAAACGATCCCGAGCAGAAGGCTTACTCGTAGAGCGTGTCCCCGTCCAGCCTTTTCGAGACACGAACTGGTGGATTACGCTTTGAACTGACAATATGTGCACCATGCCAACTGTGAATTCGTTGAATAAGAGCTTCGGGTGACATATCAGATCGCCACTCCTGCAACTGGCGGTAGTCGCTACTCGCCTCCTCAGCACTCGACCTTAAAGGACCTACACAGGTGCAAGCACTGCTTCGGATTTGCAACGTCGCTGTGAAGCCGTGCTTCTGGCGTCGGATGCCTCTGGGGCAGGAGTCGGCCAAGCTGAAAACATCTTCGCCATTTTCCTTGCCAAGGAACTCGAAGCATGCTGATGCACGAAAGCTTCTCAAGCTGCGCTCGATGGCATCTTGATCTGCATCGCCAAACACATGTGGATTCTGCCGTACATATCCCAACAGCTTCTGGCATGTCGCCCTACCACCGAGTGCCTTCATGGCTGCCTGCATGGCGGTCTTTCTCACACCAAGTGCAAGTGCACTGGGCACCGGGGGGCGCAGTCTACGACGCACCGGTACTTTGTCGAGCACGTCAGCACCTTGTAGCAAGCGGCCGACTTCTTTCTGAATAGCAAGCCAGGCGGTGGCAGATGCTGCCAAGCGGAGCTCGCTGGCCTTTTCCTCGAAGCATCGGATCTGCCTTTCCACATGCTCCAAGATGTGGCGGATGGAAGTGCAGTCGAAGTGGTGCGTGCGCCAAGCGCGCAAGACCTTAAGCAGCAACTTCCGCGTGCGGCGCTGCAATCCCCCAAAAGAGTCAGAGCTATCGAGGCCGGCCTCTTGCAGATCATGCTCCGACCCGCCACCTTGGTCCATTGGCAGTGCGGCCCTGTGAGGAGGGGCCAAGGCAGCGGCTACCTGGTACAAGATCTTGGTCAGCTTGCCTTGCGCAATGCCTTGTTGG